GCAAAGAAAGTAAGTTCTTTCTTTTTTTGATTCATAGTGAATGAACATTAATTGATGTTTCTTTTCGTTACTTGAGCTTGTTCCTAGCCTGCGACGGTACAAAGAATTCCATTCGCAGGAATGAGAAGGGTGACAGGTGTAGTGGAGATATCACAGAAGGGGGTGGGATGTCACTCCCACCACCCACGAATTTGGAAGTTGGGAAGGAAAAATTTCCTTCCTCTCCTCCACGACAAATTCTTCTCTCACTACTGAATCCTGTCACTCGTGCAAGATCTCTTTCTTTGCTCTTCTCAAATTTTTCAAAGGAAACTCCATACAAACTTAGATCATCCGTCAGATTATTCAGATCTCAGATTTCAGATTATAGCAAATCCAATCTTCTAATAGTTTAACAATTGTGGATGTGGAGAACACTTAAGAGGAATAAGTCTACCAATTCAATTCAGTCTAAGAAAATGTTAGAAGCCTCAAAGATCGAAGAAGAGAAGAAGAAGGCCCACGCCTTAAGATTAAAAGAGCAAGCAGAAGAAAGAGAAAGAAGGGCAGGTTCCAGAGATCCGAACGCAAACATCCCGCCTTCGATATCGGTAGCCACGACATCGCTGTTGGACCAAGCAGGCCCCCCGTTGGGGGACCAAGATACGCCTTCTACGTTAGGAGCCAACCTGGAGAGAAAGAATATGTCAGATGAAAGAGTGAACATCGGCGAAGAGACGGGAGGTGATGGGAAAGTAGTGATCAGTCTTAGCGACGAAGAAGAGATTGACTCATTGTCATCATCATCTGAAATGGAAGGAGGAAAGAAAGGTGGGAAAGGTTTAGAGAAGAAGAAGAAATCAAAAGGAAAGAAAAAGAAACGAGGAAAGAGTGTGGAGGTGACAGACTTACTTGAAGATGAACACGCCTCGAAGAAGAAAAGATTACTCTTTGAAGGTTTGATCAAACACGATCATAGTAAGTCTCCCTTGTTCACAGAAACCCCTTCCCCCACTCCCGGTCTTAATTTCATGGTCAAAAGAAAGTTGTAGCTTCCCAAGATAGCTCCTGTAAACACCTAGGTAGTAGCCCACTGTGGCTCCCTTTTATCCATTGTGATCAATCTGCAAAGAAACGAGGTTCCTACTCCAAGACTAAAAACGGTAGTAGCAGCATAATCAGCTCCCACGTTCTAGAGATCAAATGGAGGTCAGGAAAGCTCCTAGACCAACATCCCTCATTCGAAGGAGATATAACCACGCACCACAAGGAATCCCAGTATTTACCACGCTCCCTAATCCAGTAGGTTGTAGCAGCGAGGTGGTCATCGCTAGTTTCACCAGAACTTGTGGGAATCTATAATAGAGGAAGCTCCAATTATGGTTGTCGTAGCTTTACACTCATATCATTAAGACCTCCTTAACCTTATACCTGATCCAAACAGTGGAAGTTTCAAAACTGATGGTTAAAATGGGTATTCTTATGCATTCGATAGTAGGCACGGCAGAGCAGTTAGGTTATCCTCTGACCCAAGAAACTCAAACCACCTTGCCGCCAGAGCCGAAGACCATCCCGGCTGAGAAACGGACAACGTCCATTTCGGTCGATACGCGTCCCCTCATCGAACGCCTAGCGGAAGCCATCGATGGACTAGACATGGATTTGATCCAGACCTTGAGAAGAGAGATGGTTAAGGAGGAAGAACATAAAGCGTTAAAGTCGGAGGTGAAGAACTTAGAGAAAGAATACAAGAAAGAGGCGAAGAAGAGAGCCATAGAATCGGGAAGGATGAAAGATGAAAAGAAAAAAGTGGGAAAGAGAAAGAGTAGCAGTAGGAGAAAGAAAACTCACAAAAGATCTAAGAGTAAAAGAAAGAAGAAACTATCCTCCTCTTCCAGCTCGAGCAGCTCGTCGTCATCAGACTCAGAAAGCTCCTCATCATCATCTTCGTCTGAATCAGACTCGTCAACCTCTTCCTCGTCTGACTCCGATTCTTCCAGCTCTTACGACTCTTTGTCAGATTCGAATGAGGAAAACATCTTTATGCAGAAAGCCAATGTTAAGTTTGAACTTAATGCCATTGCGGGTTTGGATCTGCCAGACCTCCCAGAACGTTGGGATAAGTGTTTCAAGAAGCTGAAACGATACGTACCTCTATCCGTGTTCAAACGTTCTTACATCGACGATTACCATTCTAATGTGGATGATGTTTCAAAGAAGGGAAAGAAGAGTTTTAACTTGTCGACTTCAGAGCGAGACCTTGAACGTCAAATGACCTACGGCGATTTCATCATAGCTTGTGACCTAGAGGCCAGATACGCGGACGAACTTTACGGTCACGAAGCCTACGCCAAGTATATCGCAAAGCACAAAGAGGTGGTTAGTCAACTCATGGTCCAACATAAATGTTGGATGGTGGGACTTAGATATCACTTAATCATTCAAGCCCTGATCTTCAGGAAGAGATCTAAGATCATGTATAAGAGGAGGAAAAATGGGAAAAAGGGGAAGAGAGTTGAGAAGGTAGTCTTACCAGATGGAGTTCAGACGGAGGCAGCCACCAGAGCCAAGTGGGACGCAGAAACGGCAGGTGATTTGAAGTTTGAAGGCAATCCCTACGCCGTGGGACAAGCGAAATTCGGTTTTGATTTTTACACCGGCCAACCAGTTACAAGAGTTAACCCGGTGGCTAGCACGTCGAAGATCCCGGATAATCAGCAAGGAGAGAATGAAAACGGGAACTGGGGTGGAAAGGACAGACCAGATAAGAGAAAAAGAGGAGGTAATTGTGGTAGGGGTAACAAAGGAGGAGGATTTCACCAGCAAAAACCCTATTTTTCCCCTAGAAACTCTTGGGGAAATCACTTCCAAGGTTTCCAGAGTGGTGGAATGTACAACCAGAACTACCATCCGTTCAGTTCCCAATACCCGAATAATACGGCGTATTCTGGCCAAGGAGGTCAAGACTGGGTCACCCATGGACAGCAGCATGCAAACAAGCAAGCAGCAAACCAGAAGGGGAAGGGCAAAGCCCAAGACCATAACCAGTGGTGAGCGATTACACTTTCAAGATCAGAAGAGTGAAGTGGAACTGACTTTGTTGGATGTCCCCGGGGATACCCACTACTACCCACCTTCTTCGATTGCGATTCGATCACATTCTGCTCCTGTTCCCTCGTCTGATGTTTCACACAACCTTTGTCGCTCCTTTTCACTTGCTACCCATGATGGTACGAAGATGATTCTGTTGTTTCCTTTCTGTGTTGTTGAAGTTAGTCATGTGAAATAACTAGCAATGATAATGACGGTTCTTTTGAATGTGATACCTTAACTTCTCCCCCGTGTCCGATTGTTAGACGCATAGCCCCCGCGGTCCACGCCAATGGGTCTTGGAAAATGACAGACTAGTCCTGAGAGAGAATGTAGATCAGTGTGAGTCTTGGCCAGAAGAAGGAGTACAGTTTAACTCACCTCAGCCAAACAAAACGTTATTGCCGGAAGTGAGCGGAAACGAAGATGGAAATTCCTCGTCTTCAGATGAGTCATCTTCCACCATAGAAGAGAAACCAATTCTACCTCTCAGTAAAAGGAAACTGTTCAAAGAACAATTCGTGACTAAGTGGCCAACTTCAGTTCAGTGCGACATGTTGATAGAAAAATGGAAGGAAATGATGAGTGAAGCGGGTCTACACAAAGACATCCCCTATATACTTGAAGGCTTCAAGGAAGGCTTCTGCTTAGGAATTCCTCAGCATTCAATTGGTAACATGAGGTGGTACACACCCGATAACCACGCAGGAGCATTAGATGTCAAAGACGAAATAGAAAGAACTTTAGCTAAAGAACTTAGGGAAGGAAGAATAGCTGGACCTTACTCACACGAAGAACTGTACAACCGTTTCGGTTTCTTTTGATCTAATCCTATGGGAAGCGCTACGAACGGCGATGGTTTGATTAGGTTGATAAACGATTTGTCCTTTCCCAAAGACGATGTAGAACTCCTACACAGTGTAGCGTAGGCTGAGCCGGAGAAGGTAAGAATCACCACTCGTGAGAGCGGATGATACTACGGTGCTTTTACGCTGCCTTCAACCTTAAAATTATTGCAGTTCGAAAAGAACTAGAGCAACTCTTAACAATTTTCGATCCCCACAAATTCCTCCCGTAACACAAATTTAAGATTTTCAAAGGATCCGCAAGGTTTGCCGGATTCTGATGATACCACACACAACTCTACACGACGTTGTGGTGTAAAACTACGTTGATTTCGATGTTAACACGGCTAGGTAGCACATGTAACAGTGTACAGGGCCAAAATTGAAGTTTTGGACCCCTGACTCGACCCGGCCTCGACTTGGATCAAGAGGCACGAGTTTGGCGAAGTTGATGCAGTCCAGATTTTGACAACTCTTCGACTACTTTCTGACCAAGCTCAGCATTCAATCAACTCAGCTCCAGCTAACAACCAAGAAAAAAAAAGAAACAACACTAAGCGAATACAATAGTCTTTTAAACAAGGTAAGTCTTTTTATTCTTAATCTTTCATGTGACGTAATCGTATGAGGCACGCAAGGAGATTGCTCTTGTCCATACTCACGGATGTCAAGAATACAGTTTAGGAATTCGCGAAGTTCCTTCCCAAAAGGGAAATAAGAACTCGAAGAGGAACTTGTAGAGTTCCTAAGATTATGTAAGCCCGTCTGTTTACATAAAATCTCGAGCAGAAATCTCAGCTGAAGAGAATTCCTACCAAGGAGCGTTATAAGAAGGGAATGGTTACCTACAACCTTTTGTCCTTCCTTCCCTTCGCGCGCTCCCGTTTTCTTGATTCCTCTTTTCTCCTGAGACTACTACCAATAGTCTCGACAGACTCAAGTCTTAAATTTCAATTTTTAAATTTTTCTCAAATTTTCCGGAATAAAAGAGTAACAACAAATCGAAAAACTCCAAAGAAACAAAATTCAAGACTTATAACAGCATCAGTAGTAAACTGAAAATACAAGAAACAAACAAGTTTTACTCCAGATCCGTAATTTAAATTTTCAATAAACATAGTTAACCCATAATTTAGCGTCCCAACATTCATTCTTCCGTCCTGTTCAAACTTCCTTGGCGCCTTACAACACCTTATCCATCTTCCCTTTATTTCTCTTCTTTCCTGCGTTATCTTGCATCTTCATTGCTATTACACGTACCTCGTTCAACTTCCTCGAAGCAACCCCTAGTAACCCAATACAATCATCGCACCTTTATTACCCCGAATAAAAGAGTAATCATCTAAAAGCTTCAACGCAATGACAGATAAAACCACCTCTTCATCGAGATCTCGGAAAGCAAACGCTCCTATTAGCAAAGAGAACTCCAATACCATTAACACAGCAAACAATATAGAAGCTGGTGAAAGTAGCCTAGTAACTAGTATATTAACTAGCGGCCTAAAACAACAGGATAATTCACAAAGAGGTGAGCGAGTATGTCTCAACCTAATGTAATGATGATAATCATATAAACTAAAGGAACCGAAACAATTCTAATAAAATGATTGTACAACAGAAGACCAAAGCATCAACGCACCATCTGTAGATAAGTCGAATGCGAATCAGTTAGAACAGACGTCCGAGCGACGAGATGACAATACACAACAAACGACAAGCTTGTCCAAGAGCCCGAGAAAGAACGTAACAACATCTAGACCCGATAGTCAATCAAAGTCAATAGCCCTATCGAAAGGCAAAGCACCGGAAATCATCGGTGAAGACTACATATCCATACTATCCGGAAAGCCATCCAATGCATTGAACAGTGAGTTTACACAAAGAAATGTAACGGTAATGACAAGTTTAAACTAACTTACGACTTTAAATAAATATTAGATCATGATCAAGTCACCCGGAAGTCGACAAGTGTAGAATGCGAAGCGTCGAAATCGATTGACCTAGTAGATGAGGTGGATTTAAACGACAGTGGTTCAGTCTGGAAGCACGCCTTATCATTGGCAGCTGAAGGTTCTATTGAAGAAGCAACGACGTATTTCAAAATCCACGCCACGTTGTCATCTAAATCGAATAAGAAGATTAAGGATCTAGAAGACCATCCAAGCAGCACACTGTCCGAATCAAATGCAGAAGTGGTAACTGAAGGAGGAATAACCTTCATTCCCGGAGCAATAACTTCACACACCGACATCGGCTTCACTCCGTACTTCGACCGAAACTTACGTGAACTGAAAGGCCCAATCCCCCTAACGATCTTTAACAAACATTGGCAAGATCTAGCCAACGGGTATCATGTTGAGAAAAGAGTCAAAACCGATAACATCAACAAAGACACAACGACTTACACAGGATACCCATACCCACACGAGATGACCCAATCCTACTCAACGTGGAATGTAAACTATTGTAACTTTGTCACCACTCTTTGAGATGTCTATAAGTTCAAGTTGTTCGCGTCTTGGGCGGAAGCTCACCAAGCAAACGTCAAGTTCTATCACGCTAGAGACAATTGGATGACGGCTCTCCGGTACAATATCAAGATCAGAATGAACGCTTTCGCTATCAGAGTTTCCGAAAAGGGGAAACAGGACCACCGGACATATCTCAACGAAGAGACGACGTTGCAGCGCTATGTTTTGCTGAGTCAAGACGCCTAGATGAAGGATCCTTCACAGACAACCCTTACGCGAAATGTGGAGCGCGTTTCGGATTTGATTGGACAACTGGTTTACCAAGATCCTCGAACAATTCTTCATCTCACAACATTAATTCTCATTCATACAACCAGAACAACTCCTCTCTGAATCATAACAATTTGAATTCCTTCCATTCAAACAATGGGCCTGTAAACGACAATCAGTCTTCAAACTATCATCAGAACCCTCACGGTAGTACCAGTAATAATCACAGAAGGCCTAGCAATCGTCATGAAAATAGTCATCATAACGGTAGAGGAAGAAGCGGTTATAACGGACAAAACTTCGATCCAAACTACGCCGCGAAGAAAGCTGCATTAGCTGCTGCTAAACAAGCGCAGAATGGTAACTCCGGGTAAGGGACTATTTCTGATCTCTTCCAACTCCCAAACATTTACATTTCCTGTGGATATGTTGTTTTTCTAAAAATTCTTGTGATAATCGTACACTTTCTATACACTCCTTAAAGAGGAAATAAAACAATGTTGATCCAAATGCTACATGTAACGCTTCAAAACATGTTTTTCTCGTGCTTCCAAACCTTTCAAATTATAATTGAATTGATTCTTACTGTATATGAATTTTCCTTTTTCTTCTACACTCCCTTGATCTGCAATGCAGAAACTCAAGTTGTCACATAAACAAATTGAGACAAGGAGACCATGTTAACCGAGAGAAGAGAGAAAACGACAGAGTGATTGAGAATCTGGCTGACGAGAACAAAACAAGATTAAGAAATCAGAAAAGGCCCTTGAGTAATGATCAAGATAGAGCAATGATAGTCAAGAAAGGCGAAAAACCGAGAAATTGGCCAACAAAAGTCCAGTGCGAAATGAACATTCCAGCATGGGAAAAGGCATTAAATAACGCAAGGTTACTACCAGAGTTTCAAGACGTCTTAGATGGGTTTAAGCATGGCTTCGATCAGGGTATCCCGGATCACGTTATTAGGGATCACGAAACAGGGAAAGTACTCCCTTTTTATACACCACCTAATCATTCATCAGCTCGATTGGCAGAAGAGAAAATACGACAATCAATACTGAAAGAAGTGAAAGCAAAAAGGCTTATTGGACCTTTTACTCGAGAACAAATGTCAACGATGTACCCGTTCTTTAGGACGAGCCCCATGGGGGCTGTGATAAACGGAGATGGCTCTCTACGACCCATAAACGATTTATCATTCCCGAAGAACAACCCGAATTTACCTTCTGTAAACTCTTTCGTAGACGCGAAGAAGTTTAAGACCACTTGGGACGATTTCAAAATCGTAGCAGCATTTTTCAGGTCTTCAAATGAGAAGTGGTTATTAGCTATCTTTGATTGGGAAAGAGGCGTATCGCCAGATCCCAACTTTGATGTCACAATGGCCTTATTTATTAGTACTAGATTTAGACAACAAAATT